AACCCTCACTCTCTTCTGTATCTAGGGGGCAGGGAGAGGGGGTTTCTTGAATCCCCCCTCCCCCTCACTCCGTATCAGGGGAGCTCTCTCTCTAACGCTCGCTCTCACGCATACACTCCTGTTTCTGGGGAGGTCTCACTAATCCTCCCTCTCTCTCTCTGTCACACTCTCCTGCAAAATGATATATCTCTCTAAACCCCTCTCTCTGACACTCCTGTATCTGGGGAAGTCCCGCTAACGTTTTCTCTCTCTCTCTCTGATACTCCCGTATCTGGGGAGGTCTCTCTAACCTCCCTCTCTCTCTGACACTCCCGTATCTGGGGAGGTCTCTCCAAACGACGCACTCTTTCTTTCTCTATCTGTCTCTCTCTGACACTCCAGTATCTGGGGATATCTCTATACACACACACACGCGCGCGCGCGCGCACATCTGGACATGTCTCTTTAAACCCCTCTGTCTTTCACACGCCTATATCTGGCTCTCTAACCCTCACTCTCTCACACTGTCCTGTGTCTTGGGAGCAGGGTCGGGGGGAGGGGGGGGGGGTCCTCTTTAACCGCCTGCTCTGTCTCTCTCTCTCTCTGTATCTCTCTCTCTCACGCTCTCCTGCATCTGGGTGTGTCCCTCTAAACCGTTCTCTCTCTCTGACACTCCTGTGTCTGATGAGGTCTCACTAATGTTCTCTCTCTCTGTGACATTCCAGTATCTGGGGAGGTCTCTCTAACCCCCTCTCTCTCAAACACTCCCATATCTAGGGAGGTCTCTCCAACCCCCTCGCTCCTGTCACTCTGCTCCTGTTGTTGATGTCTGACAGAGCTGGTTGCCGATGGGGGAGATTTACGGTCTGTGAGAGTGCACATCGAGAATGAGGTGTGACTCTAAGCCCCCTTTTTTCAGTATTTCAATCACGTCTCTCACTCAATATTGGCTGCACAATACCAAAAGACAGAATTGCAGAGAGAGGCGAAACTATGTAAAGGTCCATTATCCACAGATCCACACAGAGCTACACCTTTCCCTTGCAAAAGGATAATTACCCTCTGTTCTACTAATGTATTCTTAAGTGCACTTAAACTTTGTCAGAAAGTCTTTGATGGCAAGTTGGAAGATAAGTGAGTGGAGCCACCCAGACACCTGATAACATCTTAATCACCTCAAAGCACCTTTGAGGTTTGACAAAGGGTCCTTGAAAATAGATAGCCCTGCAATATCCCCACCTCTAACTCATCATCTTTAACCGTTTTCTCTCTGAGTGCCCGCAGCATCTGCTGCATTTGTCTCTGGTGTCGGCCATCTTTATGAGCCTCTCCTTTCCTTCAATAGGGGCAGAGGGTAGTGGGGACAAGGTGCAAGGGCATGAAGTGACACGCCTGCCTCACCCCCACCAGTTCTCAGGGATAGTACCTAACTTACTCAATCTTGACCCCATGTATCCGGCATGCTACAACTCTCACAGTTTCTCACTGATTCAGTCCCTTTGTCACTCTGCTTTTCTCTTTCTCTCACTCCCATTTCATTCTCACTGCTTCTATTTTTTTCCCTCAGACTCTCTCCCTCTCTCTGTAGTTCTCTCTCTTATTTCTGATCCTGCTGTCTCAGTTTCTCCATCTCTTTCTGTCTCCTCTCTGTCTCACTGTGTCTCTTTTTCTCCTCTCTCTTTCTGTGTCTTTTACTTTCTGTTTTTCTCTCCCTTTCAGACTCTCTTCCCATCTCACTCTCTCTATCTAGCTCATCTGTGTTTCCCTGTCTCCTACATTACTGTTCTGTTCTCTATCTTTCTCTCTGTCTCTCTCTTTTATTGTCTCTCACTCCCTCCCTGTCTTTCTCTTTCCCTGTCCTGTCTGACTCTCTCCCCGCCACCCATCACACTCTCTCTTTCCCTTTCTCTGTATTTCTCACTCAGTTTCTCTCACTATATCACTCTGTCCCATTCTCTCTCTTTTTCTCTCACTATGTCTCTCTTCTTCTCACTACCTGTCTCTCTCTCTCCTTTTCCCTCTTTCTCTCGATTTCTCTCTCTGTCTGTCTCTCACTCTCTCCCTCACTCTCTGTCTCTCTATCTCTGTCTCACTCTCTCTATCTTTCTCTTTCCCTCTCTCTCGCTGTCTTTCTCTGTTTTCTTTTCTCTCTCTCTCTGTTTCTCTGTCTCTCCCTCTCTCACTCCAGCTCTCTGCTGTAAATGCTCTGAAGCTAGAGGTTAAGAACAGTGGAGATGATGAATGATTTTGTGGGGGATCTGAGTGGGAGAACGAGTCTCCTCTGGTTCAGGTCGATGGGGACTGAGTGTTTCACAGAATCAACTGTCTAAATGCTCCACAGCAGCTAAACAAAACAGAACAGAACAGAATGAAATATTCGAGCAGAGGACAGAAACAGTTACTGTCTTAAAGGAAGGGAGGGACAGAGAGGGCTAGGAAGAGAAGTCAAGAGCTTAGAGCACAGGCAGCAGAAGGAATTGCTAATGGTGGAGCAAAAAGAATTCTTGGAAAGTAAGAGGCGCTTACAGAGGTAGGAAAGGGTGTAGGGGCTGGAGGAGAGATAGTAGGAACTGCAGATGCTAGAGAATCCGAGACAACAAGGTGCAGAGCTGGATGAACACAGCAGGCCAAGCAGCATCATAGGAGCAGAAAGGCTGACGTTTCGGGCCTAGACCCTTCATCAGAAAGGGTC